TAATGCTAGCTGTATGTCTGTTCATACTTGTATTACAGCAAAACAAACAATAAGATAATGCTAGCTGTATGTCTGTTCATACTTGTATTACAGCAAAACAAACAATAATATAATACTAGCTGTATGTCTGTTCATCCTTGTATTACAGCAAAACAAACAATAAGATAATACTAGCTGTATGTCTGTTCATCCTTGTATTACAGCAAAACAAACAATAAGATAATGCTAGCTGTATGTCTTTAATTTGATAAACACTCATATCCGACTTGTATTACAGCTATATGTCTGTGTGCAATAGTTGAAATTTATAAAAAAATCATTGTCTTAAAATAAAGGCAACAACAAATTATTATTGATAATAGTTTCGTTTTTTTATCTACTATGGATAACATTTACAGTTATTTTGGGATCTTTTTAACTCGATTAAGGTTTTTTGGCTAACGTTTGCGATAATGACCTCTTCCGTAGAAGTCGGCGGGACTGCACAAATTTTGTTGTTGTTGTTTTGGTTTATTGGAAATATTTGTTGTTTCTTTCTTGATTGTTTACTTTTTCTTGTTGTTTTCGTTTTGTTGTTTCAAAACGGAAACGGTTTTTGATTTTTGCCAATTAGTACACAGATGTACTTGTTTTAAACTAATTTTATACCTGGCCCTATTTCTTGTTATCTATTCATATTTGTGACCGTAAGCTTGTCTTTGAAAACGTGTTAGTGGTCATAAAATATCAGTAAAGATGACTGAGTTATCGGTACGGTTATAAGTTCCGGTAAACATGCTTGTCATTATTCCATTAATCTCAATTTTAATCCCAAAATTAGTTGAGTTTCCATTGAAAACTGCAAATTTTCTCGGACGACTGAACATAACAACCAGGATGCCTTTACTGTAAAGAAAGTTTAAGTAATACCGAATATGACAATAAGAATGCTTTATTGGAAAAAAAGTTTCTCGAGCGACTGAACATGACAAACGGAATGTCTATACTAGAAATGGTTTAGTTTGAAGGAACAGTTTCTAAGATTTGTTATTTAACTGACTAATCAAAGGTTAACAGTTACTACACCTCTCATGCATATGGCAAAGAGTGTGAAAATAATTAACATCGTTCATATACTTAGTGCTAGCAATCCTGTGTAGATTTCAACTGCCCTCGAACATCGTTCATATACTTAGTGCTAGCAATCCTGTGTAGTTTTCAACTGCCCTTGAACGTTACATTACCGTGTCTACCTCTCTACAGATGCTTTCAATCGATCTGATGATCCATGGAAACTATTCGCCTGTCTAGATCGTTTTTTTTTGGTTGTTTCATATTCTTATTAGACTTTGCACTTTTCCATTTACAGTAAAACGCTTTAATCTCCTTTTGATTACATCTTTTGAAGCATCAAGTTTTTGTTTTCATTATGTAAGGCTATAATTAGGGCTAGTTTTTCACTAGCTGTTTTTATCATTTTTGCTACATTTATCCACAGTGAAACTTATAAAGCCATTAGCTGATGTTGGCTGTTAAAGTGATCGCGACGTAAAATGAATAGGAAATAAATAAATCATTATGTGTCAATGATTATGTTTATTCAATCCAATTTCATTGGTTCGTTCCCAGTAACTAATGGCAACTGATAAAATTGAGGAAGTGAGTACTTATTCTTATAATAATCACAAAATGGTAATTTTTCATGCTTCATCCAAACTTATCAATATTAATATATTAGTACATACTTCAAATTGTAAGAGATATATCCAAGCAAATTACAGAAATTAAGCCTTTGAACTAATTGTGTGTCGCCCTCTGGTGGAAGTTCTAAAATTACATTGTACGTGATTAAATGAGTATATTGTTTACCAAATTCCTACTGTTTTTTTCGAATTAGTTATAAGTAATCTTAACTGGTCAATTGAGGTACTTCAGAATGGAATAAATGCCACTCTTAAATTAGATAATCGAAAACCTTATCAATCTATAGTAAAAAAAGCACTTGACTTTATAGAACACTTACTTCCCCGTAGTGCTTCCTGGTGATAGAAATTCAGCTGTGAAACCGTGTTTCTCGACGCAATAAACAAAATTTAAGATTGAACTAACTGTAAGCTAAACATTTGGTTTCATTTTTGTTATTGAGCTTAAAAGCTAACACTGAGAGAGTAGTGGTAAACTGCGTATTTATAATAGTTTCCTTTTTACATCAGTCCTAACAGGAACCTAAATATTTAGGGTTTCACCAAAAACACAAGGGTCGTTAATCATGAAGAAGACCCACAATTTTCTTTGTTGAAAATTGTGAAGTAGATCGTTGAATTATCAAGAGCAGTTTAAAACTACACAGGATTGCTAGCACTAAGTATATGAACGATGTTCAAGAGCAGTTGAAAACTACACAGGATTGCTAGCACTAAGTAGGCTGGTTCTTCAAAATTATTTTTTCTACTTTAATATCACCAGAAAAACATGATCAGTGCGTTGATTTTAATGGTTGTTTGTGATAATTCTCATTAATAGTTTTATTGTCAGACTGAGGCTTTATTGATTAAAAGAATTACTGTTGCTAGATCGAGAGAGATAGGGCAAACCTCCCCATTACAGTTAATTATTGCAGTGATTTTAAACTCTCTTCAAATTACTATTTCAACTCCATCCAGCTTGATGGTTTTTGTGGGGTGATAGTTATTTTCATCCACATTTAGAATATATGCATTTTTAGTTATAGTACTGTGACTAGTGTTTCAACACCACATAGTTTGATTAATTTAATTCACATAATCTGATTCTAGCTTTATCTGCACTAGTTAATGCCATTGGAAAACAAAGGAATATTGATCAATTTGGGACATCAGAACTAACAAAAAGAGACAAGTCGTACATCACCCGTGGTAAGCAAAATGTGGCGTTTTGTATCAGATTAGAATCCACGACCACAAAGGTCAGTGGAAAAACACCGACTATGTGTCTCAAGCAACAGCGCACAACGTAATCAAGAACTTTCTCCATCTGAAAAACAAAAACAAAACACAATCACGTGCACATAAACTGCTTCTACGATATATCACATACCTTAAGCAGCTGGAGAATAAAACAGGTATTCGTGTTGCTTCATAAAAAGACATAGTGGTCCTACGGATTTATTTGTGATATAACTGCTTAAACTGGCACTAGATGGATTATAGAACATTGCAGGGAGGAGTGATCTCCTTTTGACATGACAGCTTTTTTTTTCAGACTGTAAATCAAATATTTTCTCTAAAATTTCATTGCACATTTTCCAAGAGTCGGGGTACTTTATTTGGCCTGTTTTTAAAAAAAATTCCTGCAACTTATGCCAAACACAAATTTTCAATTGAACAAGATAATGATTTTTATTGGCCATTTTCCACTTTGGATTAGACCTTCGTTTTGCGGATGAGGGCTTTGCCTCGAATTTTCTGGGGGCGTGGTTTCGGAGACTGTCGCTGTTCTAAATGCTGTGCCCTGTGAGTTTATCTTTCTGTTCGTTTTTGCATGAAAAACATTGAAAACTCTTCGAAATGTTATGGTTTTTGGCTTTATATAATATGATGTTCTCGATATATGAATATCCTTCCTTTACATCGTTCATAGAAATATTAACCATTTTACTTTCAAGATAAGACAGGGATAACACATTTATATAGTATAGCAGTATCGGTTGGATCATCTGGTACCATCTGTTGGAATAGTAGTATCTACCGTAGTACCATCTGTTGGTGTAGCAGTATCAGTTGGATCCTCTGGTACCATCTGTTGGTGTAGCAGTATCAGTTGGATCATCTGGTACCATCTGTTGGAATAGTAGTATCTACCGTAGTACCATCTGTTGGAATAGTAGTATCTACCGTAGTACCATCTGTTGGTGTAGCAGTATCAGTTGGATCATCTGGTACCATCTGTTGGAGTAGCAGTATCTACTGTAGTACCATATGTTGGTGTAGCAGTATCAGTTGGATCATCTGGTACCATCTGTTGGAGTAGCAGTATCTACTGTAGTACCATCTGTTGGTGTAGCAGTATCAGTTGGATCATCTGGTACCATCTGTTGGAGTAGCAGTATCTGCTGTAGTATCATTTGTTAAAGTAGCAGTATGAACTGTAGTATCATTTGTTAGAGTAGCAGTATCTACTGTAGTATCATTTGTTGGTGTAGCAGTATCTACTGTAGTACCATCTGTTGGTGTAGCAGTATCAGTTGGATCATCTGGTACCATCTGTTGGAGTAGCAGTACCTGCTGTAGTATCATTTGTTAAAGTAGCAGTATGAACTGTAGTATCATTTGTTAGAGTAGCAGTATCTACTGTAGTATCATTTGTTGGTGTAGCAGTAGCAGTTGGATCATCTGGTACCATCTGTTGGAGTGAGTAAAGGAACCATCTGACTGAGTAGAGGTATCAACTGTAGTATCATTTGTTGAATTAGCAGTATCAACTGTAGTAGCTTTTCTTGAATTAGCAGTATCAAATGTAGTATCATTTGTTGGAGTAGCAGTATCTACTGTAGTATCATTTGTTGGAGTAGCAGTATCAACTGTAGTAGCTTTTCTTGAATTAGCAGTATCTACTGTAGTGTCATTTGTTGAATTAGCAGTATGAACTGTAGTATCATCTGTTGGTGTAGCAGTATGAACTGTAGTACCATTTGTTGAATTACCAGTAGCAACTGTAGTATCATTTGTTGGAGTAGCAGTATGAACTGTAGTATCATTTGTTGGTGTAGCTGTATCAACTGTAGTATCATTTGTTGGTGTAGCTGTATGAACTGTTGTATCATTTGTTGGAGTAGCAGTATCTACTGTAGTATAATTTGTTGGAGTAGCAGTATGAACTGTAGTATCATTTG